AACCTTTGCGTCAAAGCTGTTAACTTTCCTAATTACGCGAGAAAGATGCTATTACAAAATAATCAATCAATGAATTCGTCGCGGTAATTTCTTTCGAAAGATGTGAACATTTGTTAAACCATTTACTCTCATCATATTTCGATCGTTGACTTGCTCTATTTAATTAATTAACGAACCTGTATTTTTATTATGCACGATAGAACTGTTAAAGGAACCGTGCGGCTTTTCCGTGGGCGGTAACCGCGGTGCGGTTATTCCACTGCATCTGTCGTAACCCTATGACCCCGGGCGCGACTGTAATAACGCGAGTAACCATCCATGTCAAATGACATCGAGTGACAGAGAGCGCAATTACTGGAAGCCCATCTGAAAAAACAAAAAAGAAACGACGTGGACCCGCCGACAAATCCAGCTTTTCCTCAACTCAGTGAAAACGAATAGCCCGCAATTTGCCGAATGGTTAGTCGTCTATAAATCGATGAAAATTGTCGGACTTATATTTCAAACCTACTCATGAGTAATTTCACTTTGCAGAATATTTTCTTTGCTATTGAATACAATGTGTTATCTTTGTTCCTTTTCCGTATAAGGACGCTTCTGCTTCGTTAAATATATTAATGTAATAAAAATGTTTCTCTATATATGATGCATAGAACAAAGAAAAGCCGGTGGATAGAGAGATTTTTACGCATATTTGCGAGAATTTCATGCACGCGAATTTTTTCGTCGCTTCCTCATCCATCACCGTGTACATCCGTTTGCACAACTGTCATATTACGTACTCTCTGATTTGGAAATGCAACTGTTATTCTCAATTTCCTCGTGAATAATAAGTTACCGCCGTAATAAATCATCCGTGAGAACGATTATCGCCTTTATATATAACAGGTAATATGTAAATTAACGGAGTTAACGACAACTCCAAACAAGAATCCCGTAACGTCTAACACAGCATACTTCTCACGAGATACGCAAACTACGTGCACTTGTACCGCATTAACATTCACGCGACGTCACGACGACGATGACGATGAGAGCGACGAACGCGATACAAGTGAACGCCAAACAACGACTTAGCCGCGCGATGATATGCGAAACTTAATCTTTACCTTAATAATCTTTCCCCTCGCTTCTAAGCGCACTCCCGGCATTCCTAAGAAAACATCCGCCGCTCATTATCTCGGCGAATGACGCTGCACGCGAATTCATCGTGCAACTAACAAAAGGACATTTCTTGATATCTCGCACCCGCTTGAGCGAACACTTGCTTTAATTAATTTCGTAGCGGCAACTAAGACCGAAGAGCTTATAACGAGCTTTTCCATGCACTCCAGGGAGTCCCTCTCTTTGGCTTTCCCAGAACTCGCCCTTTATATATCATCACGGCTGTCTTCGTATATCGAAATTCGAGAACGAGCATCTACTATCCACACACACACACACGCACACACGATTCTACGTGTATCGCATTGTTGGAGCTCTATGAGGCAGCCGAACCTGCGGTGTATCTCAGTGGAAAGCTAATGGAGTGCAAAGTTTTCCGCGTAGTCAATCAGCCTTCGCTCGCTCGTTGCGATACGTCCACGTTAATTAGAGGGGATACGTACTACCGTTTTCATTTGAATGCGTTAACGTCGAATATAACTCTACTGTCTTCTCCGGCTATCGTCCGGGAGAACGTAACTTTAGCTATTTCCAGGGCGAAATCCAGAGTGAACGAAAAGCTCGGCAATCTAAATCGCGTTTGCTCGAAAAACCGCGCGTTTTATCACCGCGGAACCGCGGAATCACGCCAAATTGTTCGAGGGAAGCGAGTTCTTCAAGCGCCAGGAAAAGCGCCACTTTTGAAACGGCTTCTATGTGTATCAGATCTCGCGAAGATGTCAAAGCCCGAAGAGCTATGCCGGCGTCTTAAAGCTCAGCCCTTACTTGCGAGAGAGAGGGAGAAAGAGAGACGAGATGCTGTTATATCGCAGCTCGTCGCCATTGTCTCGAAGATGGCAGTGCCATTATCATCCGCGTGATGTATTATAGGAAAAACAATGAAGAAAGATTTATCTTAGCAGGAAGAGGAACCCTTTACTCGTGCAGCCCATTCTCTACCTAATTCACTCTTAAGCCGAAGCGTAATGAGCTCTGATCTAATCTAATTCCACCCAATCTTCCTCCGGCTATAGATACACCCCGCAGCTATTACGGTTCTCTGATTACCCGGCTATAGATACTTTGTATGCACTTGGCTGGTGGAACTACTCGCCCCGTTGAAGAGACACAGGCTGTCGAGACGCTTCTTCAAAGAGTATTCGTCTTCGGCCACTTTGAATCTCGATTCTGGATCGGTTTCGATTGAGCGTCTGAGTGTGTTGGGTCTTCGCGATAAAGCAACGGTAATGTCGAACGTAAATCGAGATCCGAGATAAAAAGGACACTTGGGATTTCACGGCTATTATTTATTCGGCGATCGCGCTTCGTCGCGATTAAAACGAACATTTTTCGAGATTAATGCGGCTAAAATAAGGTCAAAGTAAGAAACAGCGAATCATAACTGTTTGAATACCGGAGCTTGCGCGATAACGGGAGATATATCTTTCGCCATTAAATCCGGAATATGAAGTGAAGTTAGTTTCAAACACTAAGCAAACACTTCTGTTACTTCGAGACATATATCGACCGTTCTTGAGTGCATTTCTAACTTAACAACTTGCAGTGTGCAAAGTGCGCGGGTACTATGGACCATTTTGCAGCATCTGAGCGGCAACTACACTGACGTCACAGAGCATGTATAACCGCATCAAATGTTCCCGGCAGTTGCTTGCGTTCTGTCAATTAAAATAGAACTAAATAAAAGTTTTCGTCTTTCGCGTGAATTCCTAAGAAACTTGAAATATAACCGCGAACTTTCGTTCACTCACTGCAATTGTGTTGTATTCATAGGCATTTCTATTACCAATTGTGTTGTATTCGTAGGCATTTCTATTACCAATTTGGAAATAATGCATACTTTCACGATCTTAATTGAAAGTTAATGTAAGTTATAAATAACAAACTATATTAGTAATCACAGAAATAAATAGTTTACCTATTTCCGGTTTGTTCCAAACATTCTGTATACTTTATTGTTTCAAAAATATAAATTTAACCGTCACTATCATTATTAATGAAGTATCACTAAAGGACAAAATAATTCGGTACGCTTATTCTTCGTGATAAATTGTTTATTGTTAATTGGTTGATTTAACCACATTTGTAAATTATTGGAACCTTAGAAAGATTAACAAAATTCAAATATTCTAGTTAAAATACAAACGATATATTTTTTCTATAAAATTAGATCACTTCGTTTATCGCCGCTAAAATCACGCCAGTTAGCGTGCCAGTTAGGTCACGTATTTTTGGCTTTAAGTAAAAAGATTTTTATTTATATACTATTAGATCATTCCATTTCGTTGCATGTTAACGGTATTTATATCGTTGTTACGTGGTACTCCCTAAAAATTGATATTTACGGCTACACGCGAGTTGCATTCGGAAATCGATGGCCCGCAGTTTGCTGGAACGAATCCCAAAAATTGTTCATCGGTGCGCGCCACTTTCGCGGGTGTTCCTATTAAAATGCTCGTTGCCTTGCCTAACGCGAATACGTGGGTGACGGCTATCCGCGTTGTTCTCGCAATTTCGCGCATCGAGTGGTCCTTTTAACCATAACGAAGGGAAAGACGCGTATACGGGGGATAGATATAGCGAGAGGCGGAAGGGTTGAAGGGGACGAGGGGAAAAAATCGAGATAAAAGAGGAGCTTTGCGCGTGGCAATTCCATTTTATCAACATTGGAGATTGAACCGTGAAGAAATGCAACTGGCGCAAAAACGAACGATGATTATTTGGAATCTAAAATAATCTTTGGAGACTGTCATGGCTGCAATCGAAGTATATGGAAGATAAGGATATATTTTAAAACGAAATAATTCGATATTATAATAAATAATTTTGTTTATTTGTATTTTAATATAGAGAAAAAGGATCGAAAAATAGTTTTTCTAATATAGGTTCTAATATACACAAAGATCTATTGTAAATAAATATAGTGCCGCGTAAGTTCTGTACCAACAATCGGGAACCTAAATTCCAAATTGTATAATTTTCTGAAGAAATTTACCTTTATTTCGATTATACAGCAAATGTTCACAAAAAGCTAAAGCTTCCGTACGGGAAGTATCGAGCGTACGGTAGGAATTACCGCGCACGTACACGTATTGTCTGTGAAAGAAGATATCAATGCAGGTGCGAACAACGGCGAATGCGGCGACAGTGAATAGACCGAATCAAAAGCCTCGATTGTCGAGTCGAAACGCCAACCACTTTCTGTTGCGAGTAATACTTCGATCGTCGCTCGCCGTATCAGACCATTTCTAGCTGAGTTTGATTTGGTAATATTGAAATAGCCGAAATCAACTGAAAGCCGACGTTATAAAGAGATCGAATCGGTTGTTACTGGAACATTGAGCGATTAGTTCGAGATTAATCGGACTGTCGAGAATATTGCGTATTTTGGAAAGCAATAAACGGTTTACGGACGTTAGAGTTTTGTTATTCCTCGCTCGTTTGTTTAATGGCTACCATTAGAGACTTCAATTAACTGGAAATTTCATTAATCGCATAGCTAATTACGGGGATTCGTTTGAAAGGCTAATCGATTAGCCGGCAATTGAAAGTAGGACTGTCCACGTCCTAATGCAAATTTGCGCCCCGCAATTGGTAATGGTCATTGAATATATCTTGTGATTTTTATCAAGGAAACGAATACGCACGGTAACAAACTGAAACAAATTAAATCAATTTCCCGTACAATAACAGTTTTAGGTTTTATCGTGCACGCAGGTACAAATCGACCGGCAAAAAGAATTTTAAATCACTATTTGTCGTATAATACCGTGTGGCATTAATCATTCGGTATGCTCTCTCTTCGAATCGACTCAATGAGCGAATTTCTGTCGTTACAGATACATTGAGTCTAGGAGATCGGACGATAGATAACATGGACAGACACTCGATGCAGAGCAGACCTCGACAACAATTGCTGGATCATTCTTCCGGCCTGAAGTCGAAACCAGATCCCACCTTCGACTTCACGCAGAACACCAACGTGACAGCCCTTATCGGAAAAACTGCATACCTCACGTGCCGTGTCCGCAATCTGGGCGACAAGACCGTAAGGGCTCTCTCTCTTTCTCTCTCTTTCTCATGCTCTATCTCCTTTCATTCATAAATTTTGAAAGATGAAACCTAATTGTAAGAATTTATTCAGAATTTGATACAATTGAGGATTCTGTTAATTATGATACGACAGCGAAGTTGTTAGCATATTTAACTACATGATTAGGAAACGTATGAATTTATTAAAGCTATACATTTTTAATTATCTATTTGAATTTAATATATTATTAAGGAAATTCTAGTAAATTTAAAAATAATTATTATTTTCTATATTATTTTTCTGTATTTTATTTGTCTATATTATTTTCCATAACATTATGTAGTATCGTATGTTTGTTTGTATATGTATTTATAAATTAAAATTTTGTTGGCTTCGTAAAAATAATGCTAGAAATAATGATATTTCAGACGCGTATAGTAACGTGCGCAAATGAGCAAGAATCTTTGTTTTTCGAAAGTATAAAAATACCATTCCATATTATTCTTGCATATTAACGCGGTCTCATATTTCTAAAGAATAAAGATATTTTACCGCATGCATACAATTTAAAATCGTAGTAACATTTAAGCTGAAGACAAATGGTTCTTCTCTTTCTCTCTCACGGGAGCAAAAGAGGAATCCGGTCCCGGTAAGGATCTTAAGAGAAGCGATTTGCAGGAAATAATCGAGTTGCGCGGAGTCGATTGGGCGTTAATTGACCTTAGAGGTAACTGGAAACTCAATTTTATCGCAGACGCAGTACTACCATTACGACCTCTATTGAAAGGAATCATCAGAACTATTAGTTGATCGAATTGATCGACTCTGTGCACGTCATTATCGACATAATCTTTCGCACTTGCTTCAGAACACACGTAATTTCATTGGCTCAATTTTGTCGAAGAACCGCGTCTGTTGCATATCGCATAAAATCCCGAATTCGCTTGAACGCAATATTTTCCTTGATACGAGCTATGGTCTCGGTTACTTTGCTTTAACGATGACGATAAAGATCGCTGCAACAACGGTAACCCAATACCGATATCAAGCTTTACGAAGCGACGCAAGGGTGCGAGAGAAATAGTTCATAAAATCGATCGTTACGCAAGATATTTCGAACCTACCCGTGCTCTTTTCCTCGATGGGTTTTTTGCTAAGTTGGGATTAATTTTGCTTTAATTAAAAAAGTCGCTGATGGTTCTAGAGTTTCGAGTGATTGAAAATAAGAGACTTCGCGCAACTTAAATTATTTCAGGAGCGGCGAAGGATATAAATAGAAGTAATGAACTTTACTCCACACTTAATCTCAAGTAGGCTTGACTTTAGCAATATTTTTCATTGACTGAGCCAGTAAAATGTCAATATTGGAGATAAAGAATTTCATATAAAATAATAGTAAAGTGCTACTGCACTAGTTTTTTCCAAAAACAAAATCTATATTACAAATATAGATATATGTAAATCTATTTATATATATATATATATATATGTATGATGAAACATTTCAGAAGATATTGTATCTAAAAATACATTTCATTATTTCCAATTATCACGAAATAATTAAAATAGTGCAAAGATTTAATTGGGATACTGTTGTAACATTGGCAAAAGTCGGGCACAATATTACATATATATATATATGAAAGAAAAAAATTGACTTTGCGCCCCTTTTATAGTTATTCCGCAGCGTTGCGTGGTAATTGCGTTTAATAATAGATCGGAGCTTCGCTCGAAAATTTTTCCGCGTTTCTGGTTGCTTTCTCACAAAGCAATTTAATTATTCGTGCACTAGTGGTTAAGCCATCTCACGCGAAAGTCGATTTACGAGTTGGTTACCTGCCTGAGGTTGCTTGTTGCAAAGTCGATAAGTAAATATTTTTGAACAAATCATTAATGTCTTAGAAAATTTCAATTTCCTTGCGTATTCATAATTTTTTAATTACTTTTATTTTTTTTAATAAATACGTAAATTTAACAAAATAACAGAAGTCAGTTCATATAGCGATATTGGCTAACTCGTTAAACGAAATTAATTTAAATTAAATAAATTAAATAATTAAATAACTTCATTTGGAATACATCGGCCAATGAATTAAAAAAAAAGTCCGATGAGAGTGCAAAAACATATGTAAATTAAATTAAAAGAAATATCGCAAATAAACGTTAATATTCGTAAATAAACAATAGCGTGTACGTACGTGTACGTACATGTGTACATGTATGTGTGTGAAAATCACCAGGAATACAAGTATTTCTCTTACAGATTACATGTAATTTTCAATGGACGAACAATAATAATTGCAATTTCCCGACTTCCCTCTCGACATAATTTTTCCAGACTTATTAGTCATTAATGTTCCATTTGTAGTAAAACTGCTTTTATTCCTCACATATTGCAATCTTTTCGTATCTTCAAATTCTCAAAAAGAAAGATATTTGAATGTTCTGTTTCTGGCCATTTATTCTATACATACTCCACGTATTTTATATATTTTCAATTTTATATTTTCAACAACTATAAAAGACACGGGTGAAAAAAATGTTCAAAAAAACACGCAACGTTGAAATTATGGTTGCTTAACGCGGGTAGGTTAAATTCAGATATACACTTGACGCGTCATGGTATCACAGAGGAAGCTTTTGAAAACGCTTTCGTGACATAAACGCTCGCCTGATTAGCACGGTAGCGGGAATATCAAGAGAAAAACAGTGGATGCCGTGCTGGTTATACGAATATTGCAAAAGGGCGGAGAGACGAAATTACAGAAGCGAAAACACGATATTCCGCGAAATAATAGAACTCTTTCCACTTTGCACTTGAAGCACTGCAATGGAAAACAATCAAAGTATTTATATTTTGTACTTATTAATACGGGAATTTTTTTTCCGTTCCTATTTTTATATATCTTTCACAGGAAATACGGAAACATGCGCATCGAGAGTTCTCAATAATTTCATGTATTATAATTATGACTTTGGAAACTCATTTGTTCATTACTTAAATTTGCGAATGAAATGAATTTGACTAACGTCCGATTATTTTGTCATAATTAAAATCTCTATGTTCTATCTTGTTCTAAAGACAATAATTATATCCGTGTTTTAGAATCAACGATTTAACACTAATTATTTTCAGCGCAACTCAGTCTTATAAAAAATACACTGGCCGTTATGCGACTGTGAATAATTTGTAAAAAAGTATAACAATGTAACAAAAATTTAGAGAATGTATTTATAAATTTAAACACATTTCTAGCGCGGATTTTACATCTCTGATTCTTTCCACGCCATATTACCACTTTTATATTATTTCCATGTTATTAGAAATAGATATATTTTGCTGCAAATATTCTCGTTAAATGAAAATGTATTAAAATTGATTGTGATGAAAATAGTCAGTCAAGTGTGAACATTTCGCTTATAAATATGTTAAATGTATCGTATTGTTGTATGTTACACACGTTTTTCTCTTTTTTTTTACACACATTTTGGAAAATAATAGCATTTTCATGAGAATAAATAACCCTGGTGTCTAATAAAGCTATAAATAAGTAACAAATAAATGCAGGTATAATAAAATCAACTACAACTAGGACTTTGCCGTAAAATTTCAGAAATAATGCACACTTTATGCACACCAAAGTTGTTCAACACAGCCGACGAATAGCAGTAATTTATTTAATTTATTAGACAATCTCGCCGGTTTTTCGTGCACATGTTTAATCGTAAACGAAGTTTGTAACTTTTAGGAGAATTTTTCGTGAACCGCTCTAACTGTTCGTCTGCTAAATCAGTTTTCATAAAATTTGCGCTGCTTAAAACTTTATAATTACATTTTCGACGATGAAAAGGCAGTTACGCGTTGCTACAAAATGCTATTAGAATTTCATCATTACAAAATTTATGATATTTCAATCAGTATAGTTCTTATAAAACAAATGTTTCGATATTGAAGTTACGATATTCTATTAATTTATATTTTGCGCTGTTATGAAACATATGTGAAATAATTTAATATATTTTCCCAGATTATTTTGTTTTCGTTATATGCAAAGAAAGCGGAAAAAAAGCAATTTTGTGAAATAATAGGCGTGAAGGCAAAGAGCATTTTCGAAGCCATCAGGGTTGCACATGCATCCCGACGCGTGTCACGTATTTTTTTCATTCATCACATGGCGCGACTCGCGCGCAACGCACGTGCGTCACCAACCACTGCGCCGATGTTGCCGTGAAAGTTAACATTTACATGATAAGAAAGAAAGATGTTTTACGGCAACTGAAACCGTAACGAAATATATACACACGCTCTCCGACCGAGTATCGCGAGATGAATATTAGCCAAGTCATCGACTAACGGGATCAATATACCGTGTGTTCAGCAACGGGTGCGAGAACGCTCCGTGAAAAGTGGATGATTGAGAAAGCAGAACAGTGAAATATCAAGTTTACCCGCGATTTCTGTATACAGAACAATTCAGACGAAGCGGCACCAATTCGAAAATAGATCTTCGGTCCTTCTTCCCTTCAGTATCACCGAACCCGCGAGAAACATATTTCAGTGTTGACTTGGGTCTACGCGACATTTAATAACGATTTCTGATAATACGTCACGAATGGAGACTCAGAGCGATGTTATGCTTCAACGTTCAAATATTGTGTATCCGAATTGCTTCAATTTCGCTACATACACGAAAAGGTATTTTCAGCCTGATTAAAGCAATCAAGGCTTAAGCTATCGGCTTAAGCTATCGGACTAAGGCTATTGGTTGTAAGCTGTTTCGAGCAAGATGTATTAAGAATGTCCACTATTTCGATATAGTGAGACTGAAACTTTGTTAATCGAAACTTAATTGATCGATCGCGACTTAGAACAGTATGACGCTAATTGAGGAGATCGCGATCGGCAGGTTCGCGGCACTTCGCAGGCGGTATGAGAAACCATTTGCTACATTCCCGTTGTGTTCGCGGCAGTTCCGCTTAACGTTCGGCATTCATCATTCCCGACGTCTTCTCGCAGTCGCCATTCGCGTCTACGGGTCGCCCGTTCGTCTCCGATGGATAAGTTAGGAAGCGCTAAACAGCTTTTGTTCCCCGTGCGATAGCTACCACTCGCCAGACGCCGCGAGAGACGTAAACTTCATCGAGTAAATACGCTAAGTGGTGCCAACGGCGGGCACATGTGCAGACGGAGCTTGCAGCGCGCGTACACGCGCACGCACACATTTCCGTCGCGCACGGTTTATATACGAGGTCGGACTCTGTGAAAATATCGACGAACAGCCAAGCCGGCCTCGCTCCTAAAGACCACCGCCGCTCCCGCATGAAATTTCCCGCATTGGGGACGGTGAGCTCCGCGCCGCGAAAACCCCCGACGTTAATATGCGTCGAAGTTCCCGTTACCGCGAATTCCAATATTACGGTTTTGCTCGTTGCGCCGAGTTGCGAAAGCTTCCGAGACGGATGGCTCCTCTGACGGATGACGGCGATAAATTATTTCGACGCGACTGTTTTGCACGTAATGATTTAGCGTTGAAGATGCGTATGTTGCGAGGAATACAGAAGGCTTAAATCCAATTTGTACGAAACGCGTTGTTCCGATAAATTCGACGCTAAAACACGTGTGAAAAATGATCGAATATAACAGTTTGGAAATCTCATATTTAACACAAACTCCAATATGTGAAAAATATTGCACACGCATATTAGTTCTGAAAGGTCTAAGGAGAATGCAAGGGAACACAGAAGGGTTGAACCCAATCTACGCGAAGCGCGTTATTCCGGTGAATTTGTGCACTCGACGTTAAAACGCGTGCGACGGACGATCGAACAGTTTGAAAATTGTATGTTTAATACTAATTCCAATATGTGAAAAATATCGCACACGCGTATTAGTCCTGAAATACCTAGGGAGAATCCCGAATGTGAGGAAACGTCTGGCTCGTATCGTTCAGCGGAATCCTTTTATTTTCCGTTCGAAGGCTACCCCCTGAAAATCGCCGAACACCCTCGGGTCTCGCACTGACACCATCGCGCCACGCTCGTGAGAATATGCTTTGCGTGTGTCGGCAGAGGAAGCGCCGAAACTCCCGGGAAAGTTTCTGTATTCCTTCGCAACTTTTCTTACCGGTTACGGCACGGGTCGGTGATTTTCGGCGTTCTGCGAGCACGGAAATAGACGAATCCTCTCGTTCGGTTCTTCCGTTTCGGAATCGCGGTAAAGTTGGTCAGGTACTGTACGAAGCACTCCGGGATGCGCTAGACCCCGGCACGGTACACGGGGGGAGGAGAAGGGGGTTCCAAGTTATCGAGATAAGCTTCCATTTCGATAAGTATATTTTTCCAAAAGTAAGTCGCTCCCGCACGTTTTAAGGCAACGCAGAAAATTTGTGGGCCGTGAAAGCAAAATCTCATCGGTGCGAGACAATACGTACCGCTGCTTTGTTATCTTGAGTCAAAAGAATGATCTTCATGATTTCTCCTTTATAACAGTGGACGTGGAGATTTATGATAAACCGTTCTTTTCGATTCGCCTTCTAGTGTACTCACAGAGCGTGGCGGAGTCCGCGATGCAACCGAAAAGAAGAAAGGTTTCCCGTGCAAAAATAAATCAAAAACGCAGAATTTAACTTTGCCGCGCAAAACAGTTTGCGAAAACATCCGACTTGAAACATTTCGAAATTGATAATACCATTTTCTCTCTTTAGCTTAAATGTCACTCGTACGTTGTCAGATTTATTTCGAAACTCGAGCACCGTGAGCGACTGTAAGAATATAAATAAGAGATAACAGAAAAATATAATATCTCTTCCTCATCTGAAAATAATATAGCGAAGTTGATAATAAAAATCGCGGATTGTTAAAACTACGTGCGCAAGGTATCGAGGTCACATTCATTTATTGAAATATCAAGCCATACGTCGGCAACGAAGTGCGCGGTGTTTCGAATATTCGGCGTATCGATTATCACCATTCTGTACTTTGTTTGCGAAGGTGTCCTGGGTCAGGCACAGAGACATTCACATCCTCACGGCCGGGGCGTACACATACACAAGCGACCAACGATTTCAAGCAATGCACAAACAAAACACGGGTCAAAATAGTGAATGGTCCGAGTGGACCCTCTGCATAAAGTGGGCGCAGGAGCGAGACCAGGGTATCTACGAATGTCAGATTTCCACCATACCCGTCAAGTCGCATCAGTTTCGCTTGAACGTCGTTGGTAAGTCACGGTTTTATTAGCACAATCTGATCTCTCACGTTGTCGCTCGCGTCTTCCCTCCGATCAAGAATTTAGCTCTCACTCGTGCCTTAAAGTACTCGAATCGTGAATGAATCGGAGTTTTTATCCACCGACCGTAATCATCTGACGAGGTAATGGTAACTCTCAAGACGCATTCAGCCGCATTCAACTCAAAATTTAATTCTATGAAGAATAACGGCGTCGCGCTCGGGACTTCAATTACACTGACCGCGGCATTTATTAAGAAGCTTTACCTCGTTACTTCTCACGGATCACGGGGCGATTTTAAAGATTCCTTCCCTCGTTCCTCCTCGTTCGCTAAGTACCATTCCCGAGGGGCTTTCGCGCGGAGAGCTTTCACGACGCACGAATCTCTGGATTTATCCGGGCCGAGCGAGCAACGAGCGGGAGGGGTTTGGCTAGTGGGAATGAGGAAGCGGTGGGACGAGAGGAGAGGGCACGAGGGAAAGGAGAGAAAAACGAAGGAAAATTCTTCTTTATCGCAGTACCTACGGCGACGATATTGGGCGGGCCTGAGCTGTACGTCGGTGCAGGCAGCACGATAAACCTGACGTGCGCCATACACTTCAGCTCGGAGCCTCCAGCCTACATCTTCTGGTACTACAATGAGAATGTCCTGAGCTACGACAGTCCCAGGGGCGGCATCTCGGTGATAACCGAGAAGGGTGGCGACGTCACCACCTCTTGGCTCCTTATTCAGACGGCGCAGCCCTCGGACTCCGGGGAGTACAGCTGCAAACCCAGCAACGCCAATACGGCGTCCATCAGGGTTCATGTCCTAAATGGTGAGTCTTTGCTCCTGCGAGTGTACCAGCTCCGCGCTTCGGCGACGTTTTACGAGCGGCGCGAGGCCGCGCGTTCCGAACCGGTGGAGCCGCACGGAACTTCATATGCTGTTGCTTGGAGAACTTAATTCGAGATTTCCTTATTCATAAACCTTATGTGCTTCCCTCTCGCTGTTCCTCAAGGGGATTAACCGGCACGTTTCTTTTAAAAACGTACGTTCAGGCCGTGTAACTTGGATAAAATATTACGTGAATTAAATTGAGCATTTTGTACCATCGAATTGGCACGCCTAAAATTATTTACAATCACCGACGTCTTGAACCTGCCCTCCCGTTTAACTCTATCTCACGTATATCTATTTTTCAATTGCGGTAACCCTGAATAAATATTAAATCCCAACGTTTAGGTTCTAGAAAGGTCTCTCCTGACCTTTAATTAAGCCTTTGAGCTTTTTCGTGATACAAAAAGTATTACATATATAGTAAAAAACATGTTATATTTGTATTAAAATCGGTTTTCGTAAAATCGTTGTATTAAGTTTTTAACATACCCATGTTAATTTAATATATTTTGTTTATATCAGTATTTTATTATATCGGTAATCAATGTGTGCAAATGTTAAAATAATATATTTTTATTTCGACATCGATTAACATATTAATTTTGTGTCAATCTTTGATATAATGTTTGCATTATTTTTTAACATATTCACGTTGTGTTAAATTAACAAGAAAATTTGAGTGGACTCTTTGAGACATGTGAAATGTATTAAATTTAATATGAAATTTTTCACTGTGCACGCCTGATTATAAAACCATGTTAAAACGTATGGATGGATTGATGCCTATTCGCACGCGTTATTCGGAGGATATCCTCGGGGAGCGAAGTTAAATTGTATCCCGATATCGTTGAATGATGGTGCACCGTGACGGAAAAATTCCGTATTCTCGCACCGTCCAATGGTGCTCGTCGATGAATGTTTCCCGAAATATTCGAGCAATCGACGAACGATAAAGAGACATCTTGCATGTAATGTAGAATTAAGATAATTTTATCACGTCATGCAACGACTACATCGCATCACTTTGAGACGCGCCGGGGGGTTGAACGCACCGAAATTCCGAGATCGACCGACCATTCCGTAAGTTGCAATTTCCGCCCCACAAACTCCCAAAGCGCACGGCTGTCGTCGGCCCGGGCTTTACAGCGTGCAAAATTATTTTATTGGTCGCCGCTGTTCGGATCTTGCGCGGAGGGACTGCTGGCGTTAACTATTTACAGCCAGCTCGTAAACTCGGGGCGTTTCGCGACCACGCTCGTTAAAACTACCGCGGCCGATGTCGATCAAAAAAGTTCCGCCGCTCGGCGGCTATCCGCGCGACTCCGCTCGCGAGTCAGATTAAATGCCGCGCGATAATAATGCCGATATGAAAACAGGGGCCGGCGGAGGCGCGCGCGTCTCGGAGGACGAGGATATTTTCTCGCATTCTTATCGTTCCTGCCGTGAGCTCACGTGTGCACGTATATACCGAAGGTTCGGAGGATATCGGCTCGCACTCGCAGCTGTCTCTTCCTAGCTTTCGGCCGCAATACGGAGCTTGCGCCGCTCTATCGACTCTTAGCAATTATGCAGTTGCGAAGTTGGCGCGCCAATATGTATATGCGCGAACACGCGCCGGTTCGCATAATAAGGCCCTTCGTCATCCGCGACGTACGAAGGAGTCGCGGAGTTGGTGAATGCTTCGATGACCTGCGACCGGCTTGAATAATTTATTAATGAAACGCGTGCGGCAGACGTTGAATTATGTTCGTTATGCTGGGCTGTTTTTCGTGACGCGACAACATCGCGCGAGTACGGAACAAATTGCCCGTGATTCGTGGATGTTCCCCTGTGTAATCCGTTTATCGAGAACCTGTGGATTGCGAAATGCGATGCGGAAATAATCGAGGTGTGTGTATAATCATGTGCCGTCGTGTATAACCAGCGACTGTTTGCGAAATGTTATAAGAAGGGGGTGATATTTTGATAATCTTACGTACACATTATGATTGCGTTTCAGTATATCTCGAAATATAAGAAGGACATTTGCGGAATAACATTGTATTGATCAAATTCAACTAGTTGGGATACCAGAAGAAATTCTTATAGAAAGGCTTTATGCCTCTGATGATTGATCAGCAATCTGTTTCTAGTCTAGAACATTCGGTAAAGTACAAAAGTACTTACTATCCTTTGCTTGCACGGAACGCTGAGATCGTCAGCAACAATTTTTATCTTTGCGATTGAGTGTGCACGCTTCAACTTTGACGATTATGAAGATCCTAGTGGTCGAGAAAATCGGGCTAGTTCGTCCATTTACTTTCCTTAAGAACTCAAAATTATACGCGGTTGCGTCAAAATTTTACGTTTACTCCAAAAAATGGCTTCGGCTATATTTTTCAGCTTGATCTATTATATATCCATTTTGCATAGTTTCAGACGAATTGCTTGGGACACCCTATATATATTTTTTTACATATTACATATTTTTTCACTATATATTCGTTGTAATTCTTTGAAAGTATTATGTTATTGTATAACATATTAACTTCATTTAACTTCATTTAACTCCAGTTAAATGCACGCAATTATCTGCGCGGAAAGAAATAAATATAACAGGTTTTAATAGAACACACGTGAATTTTTCTAAACGAATTTTTTTACCCTCGGAAAAGAAAGCATCCACGGACAAAATGAAGAAAGCCCTATTCTTCCCGAGCCTCTAAAACTATGGTGATTCTCGAACTATGACAGGTTTATTTCTTCGAGGGCGTCTTATTTTGTAAATTGAATTTCATATTTGCTTCGAATAAATCCGAATGAAAGAAAAATTATTACTGATATATCAGAGATTGCATTACTTCTAATAACGAGTAGTAAGTTCACACATGCAGAAGCGAAAATTCAATCACACTCACAAATATGAAAGAAATACGTTATTCAATATCGCGATATCTGTTATTGCGTACATCGTCGCAGAGAATACAGGTCACGACGGAGAGAATAACTCTTAAGTACGCGCTCTTAAAATTTTACCATTGAAATCTCGACCCGTCCGTAGAATACGACACCTTAAAAGCTCGCAGAAATTTACAGCCAGCCGGTTGATATGGCTTGAACGGGGCGGAAATTACTCTTCGATTCGCACACGCATACAGCTCTCTCTCTCTCTCTCTTATTGGCGCGGCCGATATTCCACGTCGAAAGAAATATATAGGTCCCACGATTTCGCGAAAACTTCGCCATTAGCCGCACCCCGGAATAATTCCTCGGAGTTCCCGTTACTACAATGCGTTAAAAACAATTTCGGAAAGTTCGTCTTCCCTTCACCCCGGCGGCTGTTCCGGCGCGTCGTCGTCGGAAGGAATGTCTTTTCGAAATTTCCTGCGTCGCGATAAGAAATCCGCGGATGGCGGACGAACGGACGCGAAGTCGAAACTTTCGCGTGGGTGCGAAACTTGGGGAATTTACGAGGACCTGGTCGGAAAATTCCGCGGGCACTACGGATGGGAAAGCGAGGAGCGCGCGCGTCCGGAAATTGTGCTTCGATTCCCTTTACGAAGTGGCCGATATCCGATAGAACGTCGAATAGAGAGGAGGACGCGCCTAATACGCTCTCTGGCCCGTCGGAACTTTTACAATAGCGAAATCGTCGCGATCAACATTCCCAACGTGACGATCGCGCGGCCGGCTCCGGCAAATTGTGCCTCGCCGCGCCGCCCCCTTCCACCCCCCGACGAGATCATTTATCCGAATGTATCGTTCGTAGTTGACATTCGTTAAAAAGTTTGCGACGTGTTCCACGGCGCGAAACGAACGGGCGCGATTCAATTAATTTCAACAGCCGTAACGGAGCATAAACTTTTCCCGCGATACACGTCACTGGTATTTCAATAACTTTCCATTTGAAAATATCCAGCACGTGTCGCATGGTAAAGTCCTTGTTATCCGGATGAAAACCCGGCCGCTTCGACTTTCTTCTTTTTTCTTCTTCTTTCTTCTTCTTTTGTTCTTCCCCTTTCTCCCAGCTCGCTTGAAGTAGATTATATTCGCTGAATGAGACGTGATAGATTGATGGATGGTTTATTTATTCCCGGCGTAAACCAGCTCGAGGAACTTCTTGTAATAATGGGTTCGCTACCGGCAGAAGTAAGAGTGACGTAATAAAAATGTATAGCCAGTTTTAGCCGGAGGAGCAGCGCGACCACCGATACGTCACGACGAAAGAGAGACAACTGCGAGAGAGACTAGAGAAATATTTTACCTTATAACGTTCGCTTTTGTACGCGGATCAGCGAAGAAAGATGTCGGGATCGAACTTAGAGAAACCATTGTCCAAATATGTGTCTTTGTGTTGCAGGCGAGCGACCGGAAGCGATGCAGACCGGGACCGCGGGGCCGATACTGTCCTCGAGCTGTCTTTTGGTGTCCCTGATCATTTTGTACATATCTTCGGTGTAATCGAAAACAGCGCCAACGGCCAGAGTTCACATCCGTCGCGGTACGTTTCTCTTGCGTCCACGCGAATGCAATCGAACCATTTCACCGGATACATGACAACTGCGAGGCGGCAACCACGGTTTGCACAGAGTGCAAACAAACTCTTCAAAAGTGATCGGGGAGGAAGGACTTTGGCTGGTGCATTGTCCCCTCCCCTCCGACAATCCGTGATGTTTTTGTAAGAGCGGAAAACTGCCAATTACGGGAAAATAGCGATTCTACTTGACAACGCGGTAGCTTTCAATTAATTCATTACTACTTCTTACAAAAGCATTACGAATTACCAGTTATTAGGGATGTATCGGGTCGTGTGTGGGAGGTATCACACAGCGAAACTCTGCCGAGGAATGTTGGGCGACACGAAGATTGAAAAGTTGCATCTTGAAGCTTCCCTTCACGATGAGCGAACAGTTATTTTCTTTTCCCTTTTAAAACATGCGTTCGCCCCTTGGAACTATTTCTTGCTTCACTATTAACACGCTCTACACTTGTGCAAATCTTCAGATTCTCCTTCATTCTCGCGTCGCCGAACATTCCTCGCAAATGTAAGGGAAACTCACGAACCTGTCCCCCCTTTTTTAACACACGAAAGGACGATAATACTCGAGTTATCGTCGAGCTTATCGCGCAACCGTTTTCTACGTCAGCTCGTACGTCATGAGTTATCGAGCCCGCGCCGACGTGTGACAGAAATCAAAATGAAGAGCGTGGAAGAACGCGTGAATCTTCGTCGCGCGCATTACGGATGGAATCGTGCGTGCTACCGATGTGAACGCGCGGTCTCGATGAAAAGGCATTTAGTTAAGCAAATGTCGATGCTAATGCCGGAAGCGCCGAGGGTGCTTCGCGGTGGATCCGGTGGGCGAAGGCAGACGCACGAGCGGAGAAGAATCCGCCACCGTGGCGGTCGCTGCCGAGGTCGAGCCCCTCGATAATCCAGGTAATCCGCATCGAGAGAAACCGATTTACGAGAAGCGTAAAGGCGAGGAGCGATTGCCTTACGGTACGGTTTTACGAGCGGTCGAATCTTGGAAATGCAAGCTACGTGGATGGGATCCAATGGAAAATAAAACGTGACTCGAGTGCTCGATCCGGCAATTTTCCGTATTTCATAAAATTGCCGCTCGATAATCGGCTGTACACCCGCGCACTCTCCAACGCCGTTCCTAATCTCGGTGACTCTTCTCGCGATTTTATTGCGCTCTGCCGAGGGCGTGTCACGCTCACTACGATTAGTTTCATTGTGTTTGCAAATCCGCTGGATATTCAAATCTCGGTCTTTGTGCGATCAATCTCAGCAAGGATATATTTTCTTTGGCGACGGGAAGAGCCGAAGTAGGGTGCTAACTTTATATCAATTCTAGAATGTGTGTTCTAACGTGTGTACAATGAAATGCAAGCATTGAAGGAAATATCGATTTTATATTGACATTCGCATCGCAAATACTGAGCCACTCTGCAAACAGTATCAATCATCGATCGAACCTGTATCAGATAACGTTAAGCTAATCAGTTGGAATTAATTAGAATCATCAGTGTGATATATCAAATACGTTTCAAACGTACGTCGAGTAAGTAACGGGAAATTTTCGATGCAAACAAATGTAATGAAATATCTGTGATACGAAGCACGATTGCTAATACAAATATTAAGGCTGGGCGGATCAATTCATGTATTGTGAAGAACGCGCACAGATATGTGCTAGTTCGAGGCGATTTGCGACGAGGAATCAATGGCTGAATGCAATCCGCATTAAGTCGGTTAAAGTAGCCCCATTGTGTGCGTCACGCACTTCGATTACGTCCTAATTTTCTATCATCCGTGATCAGCGCATTGGTTGGCACAACGTTCAATAGCATAAAGACAAATCATGGAGACATATTTGATATTCAACGTTCGATTTCCGTGTTGGAGCTGTTAAAATGAATCGTCATTAACAATCGAGATTTGAAATATGTAGAAGTTATGAAATGTTAATGAGGAGATTAATTGCTGTTATTTCCCTTGTGATTAAATAAACGCGATACGATTTTATCGGTGAATACGGAAAAAGTTGACAAAAATATATTATGAGAATGAAATGAAAAAGTATATAATATACATATTATATTATATTATGTATAAAGAAGATAGATTGCGAAAAGATCTCAAGAGGTACATATATTTATGGAAACAAATCAGCATACGCGCACGTGCGACAATGTACGGTCAATAACAAATTATCACAATTGCTTCTCGACAACACACAAAAAATAATTAGGAATAATTGAGCGTTCATTGATGCGTCATGTGACCATGTGAGGTACCAGCGGGAAATGCAATTAGCGAGAATAAATAGCACTAAACGCGGCATACGTGCACATAAAAGTTAATCTTACGGTTGCAAATAAACGAGAGTGAAACGATTGAATAATTGAATCTACTGTGCGTGGAAATTTAATACAATAATCGCCGGCGATTATTGCGAACTGTGCATAAATAAGCATTTTATCAATGAAAACAATACCGTTGGGGAGGGGGGAGGTCGCTTTAAATTTCGACACAGCGAATAGAATGTCGGTTAGCCCCAAGGAAAATATGCATAACGTGAATAATTCCCCAATATATGTTTGCGTTAATTTTACGATCGGTTGCGCCCGATTGTTTTTATATATTCAATAATCGCGATGATTGCTGCATCATGTTTACTTATATATCTACGAATGCGTATGTAAAAAATATTTTCCCTAGATTGTGTCAGATCCGCGATGTTAACTGCTGCGCAATAATATATCATCCTTTATAGGCGAAATTGTTCTATTAAATAACGTTTGAAACCGAGAAAATTTAAAATTGTGAAAAAGTCACACATTTATTTGACTGACTTACGCCGGATAAATCGTTGCTCCAATTAAATTCGCGAATACATATTGGTGCAGAGAAGATAGAGAGAGAGAGAGAGAGAATCATAGAATTCCAGATATCAGTACGGTATCAGGGCGCGTATCGATAAGATGGTATCGGCATGGTTTCTCTGAATGTATCATTTAGTCGGCAGAAGGCCGAAGTAATTGATCAAACGTCGAGCACTCCCGTCATCGTTTGTCCGGACATCATCATCGCTCGAACGATCGCGGCGGCATAATCGGAAGGATCGGGGCAGTGTATTCTCTCGACGGATGAGCGGGGCGCAGAGACCGAGAGGCTGAAAGACGGACCCTGGATGGAAGGAAGTGTTTCGTGTGCGCGCGACACACGTGTGTTAACGTCGCGCTCGTCGCGGATAGACGTTAAACCTGATGAATCTGTGATGATACCGCACGTGTGCAAACACATCGATGCCTCGGACACGTGCCTCAAGGAGGCATGCGGCTACATACGGATTAAGCGTAATGGCGCTCCTAATTAACAATTCGACGAATGCGCCGGACTGTTCGGCATTTAATAAGCGTCCGCAACGCCACCGGCATTAGCATCGCCGTATCAACGCGAATTGTATATAGTGTCTGTATTATATAACTCCGTACGACATCACACTCACTCACACGCCTTGCGCGCCGCACGGAAACTTCGGCGCGAGCCGATCCTCTCCCTTCGCTCTACCACGAACTGTGTCCGTGAGATCCGCGGATTTCCCCGGTCGAGGAAATCACGCTCCGATCGCACTTACGCGAACGCGCGCGCTCGAGAGAGGAAGAGAGAGGGGGGACGATTTTCACTTTCTATTTGTGTGTGTTTCGATGTGACATCCTGCCGGATAGCACTGGCGAACGACGATTGACTTCTCCGGCTGAGAGAGGAGCGCTCGCGCGCAGGAGGCTTCGTTTCGCTTCTTCAGCGGAAACTTTTCTCCCGCAACAATCATTGTTATTCGTTCGTTTGATAAGAATTAACTTTCGATACGTGGCCTTTCTTCGTAACATCGTCACAGATATTGCCCGTTTCGGAATGAGCGCTCGAGCATTTTAGCTTTTGAATCTCTTATGTGGATATTCGGCGAAGATACAATCTCATGATATTTGGTTTATTTTCGGACCAACGGAGCATTGAGCAACTTTTTATCGGAGGTAGAGATTTAAAAACATTGGCGTATGGATTGAATATATCGTTTCCATTTGTTCACCGATACAAATTTGGTTTTGCGGAATCCGCAAATATCGTCGAGCTTGCAAGACTGGCTGCGGGAAGTCGATGAGAGAAATTGCGGTTCGTCCGCCAGTGCGATTGGTTAGTATCGAAAGTATCGCTTGGGCCATCGGCGCTCGACGTAAACGAAGTCGCTCGTATCTTCGCGCTCCTACGCAAGTCCCGATAGAATGACGAAGTGGATGTCTGTCCCGTCTAGCAAGGATTCCTTGCGGCGACACGGACGGTCGTTCGTCAGAAGCGATTTGTAACACGATGAGTCGAGGAGGCGACGAAGAAACACAATAATGCCGCCGTTATTCCGCGACACTTCTTGAAAAAGAAGAGTCTCATATTTGAGGATCTTGCGCCTATTTTTAATCCTGCCTCTTCTAATTTCGCGAGTCCAAAAATTTGTTGAATTTTCCAATATCTTTTCTTTCATTCGTGGCGATTGAGGAACGTAGGAAATTTCACACAAGCTGTATATTCCGAATTATTGACATGCTTCTTTTGGATATTTTATTTTTCCGCCTGAAACCTAGACTGTGTTGTGTTCCGCAAAAGGAGGAAGGATAAGTAAAAGTGTGCGGGAAAGAGTCTCGTGGAGAAATCTCAAATCAGGACCCGTTGTTACCTCACTGCGCGGGTGTGGAAAGGGCACGCGATGTCGAGAGAGCGCCGGCAAGAAAGATAATATTTCGGAAGTTCTCTCGAGGGACGAGCTCGCTAGAGTCACGCTTACGCGTGCGGTTCGGCGGTGGAATATACCGCTCTTGAAGACAATGAGAAGTCGGGAGAAAAATAATTGCGCGGGCGGGGACGGGTGCCCGAGCCGAAACAAAAGTTCGCCCGCATTTTTCTTCCTTTTCGGCGGAAACTAGGTGTAAGAGATAGGAAGCGCGCCGTCGAGTCGCGGGACCGACTCCGCAATGCGTGCCGCATCGATTTTCCAGCTGCCGAGCGGATGTTTGGGAAACGTATCGATGGACCCAGTTATTCCGGTTAAATACAGGACTCGCAAATATCTGTTACTAACAGAATTCGATGAAATTTCTTCTTGATGTAAAGTCCGAGTCGCTAGCAATCAACATATATACACATACACGTACATATCGAAATGCAAATGAACACATAAGGAAATTTTGCATTTCATTTAATTTCACGCTTTCATGGAACTTCATTAGGCGATATCGGCTTCCTTTTGATATACGTTAACGAAGCCATTCTGTGGATAATGCGAAAATAAAAACAAACGTGCTATTTCTCTCATTTCGAGTTGCATTTACGCGAATCGGAATACGATAGATATAGTTTATCCTCGTTTGTGCAACTCGATGCCATGTTACGCAGATCCTATTGCAATTCATTGTTCTATTGCCTGTATCATCAATAACGCTAGTTAAACCGATGTCTCTTTGCAAATAGATACTCGTCCGAAAATACATTTCATTAGAAAACTAATTATTCCACCTGACGCGTGCTAGTTAAAATAATTGACGCGCCACATGCACAGGAGATATATTATGTTTTAGTTATTACCTTAACATCTCTTTATTCATACACATACACGAATACGGTTATCATACGTTTTCTCAAAGTACGCAGAATATGCATTTTCTCGCGTTCCTCATTTTAATAAGTATAAATAATATTTTTTTTATATATTAACTCAATCTCTGTGTTCGTCATCTTAAGTCGGTAAATTATATGATACAAATTAGAGGTAAGCAAGAAAAATTTGGCTGTGATTAATCAGCTTATAGAAAATATTATTATTTCACCCTATTTCTAATCTCTTGTTTTTATATTTCAATGTTACGAGATATTATAAATTAACATAAGGCTACTTGTATAAATGAATTGCAGTGCACAAAAATGCCATGTTTATCGTAAGAAAAAAATCATGAAATTTTACACTCTGTTGAAATTTCTCTTGGATACCTCCCTTAGTCGCAATTGCGATTCGGTTGATACCTAACGTAACTTAGAACAAATTGCCTTCCTTTATTGGCGCATAACGATTAGCCGGGTCGTGCATCCGGGGCAAATCCAAAATCAAATGCGATTTCGCGCGGGCCATTACGCGGCATTCATCATCTTCCAAATGCAACGCGGGCGCAATTATTGTCCGATCCGGGCGAAAGCCTGGCAACAGCAACCGCGCCAAACTCGGATCGCTCGTCCCTCTCTGCAACCCCTCGCGGAATATTACTTCCTAATAATACGAATTATCGGTTGAAAGGCTCGTTTTATTACGCGCCGCGTGCACACGCGAGCGAAATCACGCCAACCGAGTGCCGTGATCAAATATCGTACCAGGCATCGCGTGGCTTCGCGCGAGGTCTGTTGTATAAATGAAAACGGATGAAACTTCAGCTTCGGACCGTCCGTCAACAGGCATCGCGGAACAATCGTGCGACGGTGATACATGTCGATTTCTTTTTATAATCGAGCAGATAATTAGAGGATACCCTTTTCCGATGAGTTTAGAGAGGCGATTTTTCCTCGACGACAAATGTCGAAGAAGCTCGTTACGTGTCGAAATGTTGCATACTTTGGCGTACACACATTTCTAACTAAGCTTCCAATTAAAGATTGTAAATTCGATCGGAATCGATCGGGGAAGGAGACTCCGACGGTTTTCTTCTCCGAAAACGAAATTCGTAAATAGTTCTTATCCGTGCGAGGACGCGCGAGGTTGTTTTCGTCGGGGATAAATCAATTCCGAATCAGCTAAAAATCTGCGATGAAAGGAACATCCGATGATTCGAGGACGGCCCCGTACAAAATAGAATCGGACATGTCCCAAATTCCTAGATCCGTGGACCGCAAAATGAGGTAAACGCGGCACGTTGCTCCGAACTCGGAAAGATGAAACGAATTCGGATTTTGTTCATTCCACGTGGTCGGCCGAGTTGAGAATTGAATTCCAGGCGCGAACGGAATCCAATTCGAAGTCCGTGGTTGTCCGCGAACCGTCTCCCACGTCCTCTCGTCCTGATCTCCTAACTTGGTAGGAAACTTCGCGCGCAGTCCGACGCGCGATCGTTTTCCTTCCTGCATCTTCACTTTCCACGGTCGCACCACCTGTCTTCCCTCGATATAGACGCTCACGATTGCTTTCCCGTATAAATACCGCGGATGTTTTCGCGAGTTTTAACGTTACCGCGGCACTCCAGACTGCGATTACACCCACTTGTACATACGTACACGCGATCTGTGAGAGACACTCGGAAGGAAGATTCGACACTCGAATTTGCGAAATTATGGGAAGCGATTTCACGGAAGAAAATTGGGAGATTTCAGCGATAAAGTGCGTCGCTCTCGCCTCTCTCGACTCGTCCGCATCGCGACGCTGCGTCCAATTTGCGCGCTGCACATTTTACCGCGAGCACAAGCGCGAAACGATGCGCGCCCGATATGCGCGAAATATCGCGACGAATGATAGGCGCCGAGAGGGAAACTAATCGTTAACTAGAACGTGAATTAATCGTTAACGAAAGTGCGCTCCGACGACAATGCGACGGACTGGAACTCGACGGGCCGTAGATTCTAATCGACGATTTTGCTAAGCGCAAGCGTAAGAGATAAGAAGAAGAAAGAAAACAATGAAATGAACACAGAAGAAATCAGTAATCGCAGTGATATCGTTAGAATAGATAGGTATATTATTGTACATACTATGATATTACGATGTTTACTAAATAAAAATGTTGAAAGGAAGCGAAGTGACCTGCTCTTTCGAAGCGAAGGTTGTAGAGCCGCATGTACATAACGTGACGTATCCTAAAAAATAAATGCTCCTTGATAAGTCCATCAAACGTTGGTAGACTACTATCGATCCGACTGCACGCGCAGAATGCGTCGTTCTTCTCTTTTTTTCTTTATCACAGTTCCACGATCTCTCTTATTGATTTATGAACTTATGCGTTTGTAACGAAACGCTACTTGAACCACAATACAAATTTGTTAGGAATTTTTGATCATTTGATATGAAATTTGTTTCGTATTTGAGAGAGTGGACAAGTCTGAAGAGAATTTATTAAGATTTTTTACATCGTTCATATTTTCCGCGCGATAACGTTGTAAACAACGCAATTTATAAAACAGTACGCAACGAGTATCGAAGGTAATATTATCAAGTTTTATCATTATCACATTGCAAAGAGCTTTGTTTGAGGTTTACCCTGTATAATTTTTCTTCCGTTTAAGTATATGCAACGAAAGGAGAGCGGAAGTAGTTCGTTACAAAGGTGACGTAACACCTTTAGACGTACGATTGGTTTGAGTATTTCCTTTGTTACAATATCCACCTTTGAGGACATCTGGACGCAGTCGTGGAAACGAGCAGATCCCCGAAGAAATCCCTTTGCTTCTTCAGACCCGCGTCTCCTTTATCCTGGCAGCTGGCAGTCTTTTATCGAGAATGCTTCTTTCGCCGGCGATAAGTAACTAACGAGCTTCAAAGGACGCCAGCGGACGGAATTTCTGACACTCTTTCGCCACGCTGTCACGTTCGAAACACGACGCGACGAATTAAAGCAGAAAAGAGATGAACGTGTGCGCGTCAAAACTCAGGTAAATACGATCTCATTCACATATCCGTTGTCGCCTTCACAACGCTTCCTTCCTTTATCATGTATGGCAGTGAACACGCCGAGCATGCGGCGACCGGACGCATAGAAAATCGATTGCAATATGCAAGAATGCACTATAATTGTTAATTTTTCATTACCTCTTTGTTCATCGAAGTAGTTCGATTTTTCCCTCGGAGCGAAGCGACTCGATTACAAACCAAACTCGCTTTACGTACGTCTGGCACAATCGTTGCCTTTTTCCAGCCACTTCCGGTACCGGAATCGGCATGGGGGGGAAGAGGGCACAAGATTATGGAAATTGAATATTTAACTACTACGGTACAGTTCGCCAACTTTTAATAACCGCGCACTGGCGCTGTTCCAAATTAAGGGTAACTGGTCACTGGTGGGATATCTTCCTAAAAAGTTTTCGTTGCGTTGAAAATTTCACCGCGCTTGCTATACTTTCCCTTAACAGATAAGGAAAAAAGAAAAGAACGCTAAGCCGAATGTTGCAGTTGTATACTAAAGTATCGTAGCCGCTGTTAAGGAACGACTGTGGAAACGAGGTTTCGTACCGTGTTCTAAAAACTATCGTAGAAGCAAAACAGAAATAGCTTGCGTAAAGTACATATAATAAACTATAATACCGCGTGCAACCGCACTCAGGCGAATATATGAAGCCAGCTACTAAACTACGAATTTAGCTTGATTCAATTTATATTGTTTATTTGTACTTTCTTAAGTTGAATCAGTGAAACAGTATTTTATCGATGATCAGTGAGTATTCGCTAATTTTTTGTGGAAATCCCTCCACTTAGCTTTTTTGTCTAATACTTCGCTGATTTTAACTAATGAAAGATTCACTGCAAATTGCTGTTACGCATCACGTAGCTGAAATACAATGTACATGTAGTACATACATTTAATCGCATTTGGCGCAACAATCATATCGTATTCGGCGTAGTTCGTGTGGCAGCAGACTCAAGAGCTAAATGTTTCGAGTTCGAGTTCCGTTAATAAACATGTTTCTCAAATACGATATAAATGAAATCAAACATAATTAAGAATATTTCAGGTAAAACCATTGACAGTACCTTAAGAGTGGGATTATGATCATAAAAAAAGTAATAAGTAAAAGCAATAAATATTCTTTTCACTATTTCTGCAGTTAGATTTCTCCGATGAAAACAGTTGCTGCTATTAATCGACTTTTACAGCAAAATTTTACTGATTTCCAGTGCTATACTTATAACTATGTTCACTAGTGACTGCTTTTCAGTGATAATACATTAATTACACTTTAAAGAGTACTGGAAAATTCGAAACGCATACAGCATAATTAAAAAAAAAAGAAAAGAACCGTTCTGAGTCGTTTTTATGTGCGTATATGTCACGTAACATTAGAATTGCTTATCCATCCTGTGCGGCCCCTCGGTATTCATTAGTATCTTAGTTTACCCACGCCCGGATCGTCGCTTTACATTTTCCAGACATCCCCGAATTTCTCCCCCAATTTGCGAGAGACACCGAAATCGGCCACGATCAATCACCCCCGCGCGCTCATCCACTTACAACGCCCGGCTCGACGAAATGTAACACGATATCCCTCGACGTTACGGTTAACGAGCATCTGCCCGAAGCGCCCTAACTGTGTGTCGAGTTTCAACGTTTGCAGCCGCCGTAGTGATGGACGTTTCCTCACCGTGGAACATCTAAGAAGCGAGCTCGCGAGACGCTACCGCGGTTTTGTGGATTCCGCCGGTAAAGCGTCATGTTTCGCGCGAAAGATGCGGTGGCCCGAATGCGCTACAAAGGCAGATGACGATCTCCTGAGGTGGATACACGACGAGTTGCAACAGCGAAAACCGTCGTGCAACGGAGCCACCGCTGTGACAACACGACGGAACAAATACGAAGTGGGACATTGCTTCGGACAACCGCCATGGCTTCGAGGCAAACTGAGAAACAAAGGTATAACAGAAAAACGATAAAACATTTCGCACTACTTTTCTAATTGCACGTTTCCCGATAATAAATCTTTGCATCCTGCGGGGGGGTATAATCTTTAAGCTCGCCGAGTTCCCGGCGCGTTATCAGGTCGCGGGAAATTTGTTCTGCAAGTGGATAGTAGACGATTATATTATATCGCATTAATAAATTATACTCGTCAAGTAGGAGGAAAGATAATCTGTGCAATATAGTTCTTGCGAGAATATGAGTCGCTAGACAGCTTTTTATTGCTTTAGTTTACGCTCGATCTAATTATCAGCTACGATGCCACATTATAATGCCACTTGGTCATCATTAGTCTTCTTGATCACGGCGCGCTTGATTATTGGCGCTCGGGTTATCGGCTTATTCGCCTGTCATATCGATGATCTTATCCCTCAAGCAGACCGCTCTCTGAAACTGCGCATAATTTATACAGCGAGCGGGAATTAATGAAATAACTTCGTACGAGAAATCAATATCATTTATGAAACAAGTCCACCTGGGTGATCAGCAAACGCAAGTTGCTTCGAATTTAACTCAACTGAGTAATTTCGTCACGTATATTTTATAACAAAAATATCAATGACAAACCGACATTAATGACAACATTATTATTGAGTAATTACGATTGCATGCGCATTTAATGCATTCGACGAATCCACCGATAGTTCGCCGTAGACGTACAAACGAGAAGAATCTAATAGCGCGAAATTACCAGGACGTATTAGAATTCTCTGACTTACGCCCGACTCTCTCGGACAGCCGGAGGGAAAAGAAACGTCCCGCGTTCTCTCCCCGGAGTTTTTCCTCGATTTTCCGAAAGAGAGAACCTTAACGCCGAGCGAGTCACTTTTCGCGCAAGTGTGAACACGTCGTCAGCAATTTGCGTTCCTCTGCGTGACTCCTCCGGCTGGCGGAGGTGACGCAAAAAACTTTAATTCCGGTCCGGCGGTGGCACGTCGGAAATGGTGCTCGACGTGCGGCGCGATAATACGCATACGCTCGCCCCTGTAATCCTTTTTATCCGGCTGACTTTATCACCTCGCAGCCTCGGCCGTTAAGAACGGAGAACGCCCGCCCTAATTTCGCGGTTAACTACAAATATCGGTTCAGCGACGGAAGCATGCCGGCCAGGAGGGGCCGCTTCGTCCCGCGTGCATGCCTCGAATATCTCGCTATTTGCGCTTCGGACTTTACGGCTCCCATGTGAAACGATTCGAGCTAAGGACACACGGCAGCGAGAGAGAGAGAGAGAGAGAGAGAAGGAGTAGGATGGGGATCGGGAAGCTCGGGGGGTTAAACAGAGAGGAGGATACTGACGTCGTTGTAAAACGGCACGTTTGTACCGGAGATGTACGACGGGGAGAGAAAAGACGAGAAAGAGAGAGAAAGAGGGAAAAAAGATAGAGCCATATACTGAGCACGTGAACGTAGAAGAGACGGGGAAATCGGTGAGAAGTGAGGCCGAGAGGGTCGGAGCCAAAGCGAGAGAGAGAGAGAGATAGAGAGAGAGAGAAGGAGGGAGCGGCAGCATTTTATAGCTCGGACTAGATGGTCCGGAACGTGGTGTGGCAGATAAAAAGGATAGGGAAACTACGTCGGAACTACTCGCGGTGGATGCGCGTAGAACAGATACGCTTTTTCCATTAAAACCGTTTCCCCGACACCCCGACGGATCGGGGTGGGTCAAGGCACGAACGTCCCCGTCCGAGGATTCACGCGTGCGTCTCTCTCGAACGGCGATAAGACGTGATGCTTATCCCGTCCGGCGATTCGTTCGGTCGCCGATGAATCCCGCGGTTTATCGCGCCGCAATGGAGATACACGGGGGAACAACGATCCCGTGCAACAGCCACCCCCGCCGATTCGGCGTCGTGGCGGGGATATTTATACGACGGGGACATTCGCCGCGCGATATGATCGCGAGCTGGTTAGACCGTTAGCGAGGGAACTTTAGTTTCCGCGACTTCCACTTGATTAACCCGAATGCAGAGCGCAACGCAGCGTTTGCATAAGTTTCCCTTATGAAACTGTCGAGATCGTTCCGCTTCTCCGTCACTGTCTTACATCTCGTACCTTCTCCGTCTGATGCAGCGCCACTTAATCTAATTGCTTCGATTACTATTTGCAGAGCTCAGATAGACACATACG